ATAGTGTTCTTTAGTGATTGACTAACTACACTCACCATAATAGCTTCCAGGTTCATGAGGTGATATCCAGATTCCTAGTTATTCTTCAATATGGCATAATATTCCATTGTGTGTATGTACCAAAGTTTGTTTATTTCGTTGGTGGACATTAAGGCTGTCTCCACATTTTTGCTATTGTGAATAGTGCTGCGATAAACATTGGAATGAATATACCAACTCATGTCATGGCTCTTATTTCTTGTAGCTGTATAGCCAGCAGAGGGATTTCTGTTATGGGATTACCACTGAACAGCAAACCACAAGGTCAGCAGTTCAAACTTACCAGCTGCTCCTTGGAAACTCTATACAGAGTCATTATGAATCAGAACCGACTAGATGGCACTTGAAAACAGCAATGTTATTTTTATTTCTAACTTTTTGAGGAAGTCATACCATTTTCAATAGTGGTTGCACCATTTTACAGTCATACGAGCAACGTAGAAGGTTTCGTACTCTCTCCTACCCCTGGACAACTTTTTCTGTTTTTGTGAACTTTGTTACTAATGCTGGTATGAGATGACATCTCATTGTTTTGATTTGTATCTCTCTCTGGAGTCCTGATGTGGCACTGTGGGTTAATGCTCCAGACTGCAAAGCCATTTGAACTGCAAGGTTGATGGTTCAAGCTCACCGGCTGCTCCTCAGAAACCCTATACAGGGTCGCTATGGGTCAGAACCGATTTGGCGGCACTTCACAACAACAACAATGGCTGATGATCTTATACTTTTCTTCTTATGTTTTTTGGCCACCTGAATGTCTTCTTTTGTGAAATATTTGTTCATGTTCTCTCATAATTTTATAGTTGGGGTGTTTGTCTTTTTCTTGTAGACTGTTTTTTGTTGTTGTTAGATGCCATCGAGTTTGTACTAACTCATAGTGGCCAAATGCATAACAGAACAAGACACTGCCCGGTCCTGGGCCAACCTCATAATTGTTGCCATGCTTGAGCCCATTGATGCTGCCACTTTGCCAATCCATCTCATTGGGAGTCTTCCTCTTTTTCTCTGACCCTCCACCTTACCAAACATGATATCCTTCTCCAGCAATTGATCCCTCCTGACAATATGTCCGAAGTCTGA